CCTCGGCCCCAGCCACTGTGCCTGTGACACTGAGGGCGGCTCGGAGACCAAGGGAGCGAGCGCGCCTGTGTCCATGCTGCGGGGCCACAGCCTGCCAGAGAGCAGCTGAGGCGGCCCAGGGTGACGGCAAGGGGCCGGGTTGGGGTGGGAGGAAACACGGTGGGGCTGTTGGCTGCAGAAGTCACATGGAACTGGAATTCCAGGGGCTTTGCTTCTAATTTTAAGACGTTTGACCTGAGAAAGTTGGAGAATGTCCATTAAAATTTAGTTAGAATCGCTATTCAAGTCGCATTCACCTTTTGGCAATTGTATGCTTACCTAATTGGTAGATGTTAAAAGTAAATTGTGAGCCGGGCTCCGTGGCTCAGCCTGTAATCCCGTGCCTTGGGAGGCTGAGGTGAGTGGATTGCCTGAGCCCGCGGGTTCGAGACCCGCCTGGGCAACTTGGCGAGACCTCATCTCTACAATAAATCAAAAACTTAGTCGGGCGTGGTAGTGCGCGCCCGTAGTTCCAGCTACTTGGAAGGCTGAGACGAAAGGATCACCGGAGCCCAGCAGGTGGAGGCTGTGGTGGCCGGGAGTGGCCGCTGCACTCCAGTCTGGGCGACAGAGTGAGACTCCGACTCAAAAAAAAAGTAAATTGTGGCTGGGTGTGGTGGCTCACGCCTATGTCTCAGCACACTGGGAGGCTGAGGAAGGAGGGGTGCTTGAGACCAGCCTGGGTAACACAGTGAGACCTCATCTCTACAAAACATCAAAAGATTAGCCAGGTATGGTGGCATTCCTGCCGTCCCAGCGACTTGGGAGGCCGAGGCAGGAGGATCGCCGGAGCCCAGAGGTTGAGGCTGCAGTGAGTCGTGGTCGTGCTGCTGCGCTCCAGTCTGGGCGACAGAGTGAGACCCTGTCTCTAATTAAAAACACAGACATTTAAAAAAAGTAAATGACGATCACATGAAAGTCTGGACATTCTCTCCGTTAAAACGAACCTTGGGCTTAGAACATCTGCCTTTAGTGCGGTGACTGTTTCTGACCACATGGGGACTGCATTTCTTTGTCCCGCAGGCTTGGCTGTGGTGCCGTGACTTGCTTGGGCTAATGACATAAAAGGGGTGACTTGGGAGTCACCTCTGAGAGAGCCTCAGGAGAGGAGCGTGGTTTGCGTGGCTCTCTTCCTGCTTTGGGGACAACAGCCTTCCGAGTGGCCGCTGTCCTGTTGGCCTGAGTCCCTATGTGCAGGGGACGCGGAGCCCTCAGCCACCCCGTGACCGACTCGCGTGTACAGGAAGGACACCCCGGCTGTCTTCAGCCACCGGGACGACCATGGCGCCACCGACTCTGAGACCCACCGAGCACCAAGAGTGCTGTCTGAGGAAAAGAGACCCCAGGTTCCTTCTCCTGACTCCAAAAGCGGGGCGAACAGAACTTCAAGGGAAGGCTGCTGAGAGGTCACAGAGGAAGCACTGTCCACAAGCCTGTCCAGACCCAAGCCATCTGTGGATGAGTGCGTTTGTCACTGGAAATGTCTGAGCAGAAACTGCAGGACTGCACGCAAAAGATGTCCCGAGACGGCCGGGTGGGGACAGTCTCAAAGCACTGGAGGGCGGCTCTGACTTTCCCCTGACCCAGAGATGCTGCGGCAGGTCCTGGGAGCAGAGGCGCAAAGGCAGGGCAGCGAGAGGCCCAGCCGTCCTGTGGAAGCACCACCTGACATGAGGTCGCCTGGGAGGTGATGAGGGCCTTTTGCCTCAAGGCGGGAGGGTGTTTGGCATCGCCCTTCCCGGGGAACCATGGAACGAGTCGCTGCTTCAGTCACCTGGAGAGGCTGCTGGGGCAGACACTACGTCCACACGTGGCGGGCCACATGTACCTGCCTGCCACTACGACTGTTGCTCTCTGTGGTTGACCTGACACTCACGGTCCCCACCTGGAGCGAGAGACCCAGGCAGTGTGCTGGGCGTGGACTAAGGAGGTGCAGGGGGGCTCCTGGAGCCTGTCGCGAGGCTCATCCTGTCACGGCCTGTTGCACGCTTGAGCCTGACACCCACATGCTCGCTCTTCCGCCTTTTGGAGAGCCAGTGAAAGCGAAGGGGGACGCACAGAGGACGGAGCGACAGCAGCTGCGCCACGCTCCCCGGCACCAGGAAAGACATGGCAGTCCCCTTCTGTGGGGAAGGGCGGAAACCACGCGCCCCTCCGACTTCGCTGCTCTGGGATCTCTCTCCCAGCATGCTTGGGTGAGGACCCTCCATGCTTCGCCCGCTGGCCAGGCCTTGAGGACGTCTGTGACGTGCTCTCTGGCTGGGCCGAAAAGGCATGGCCGTCACGGTGCCCTGAGCCCGGGGGTGAGGACTCAGGGGTGCCCCTGCTGTGGAGAGCGACAGTGCCCGCACAGGCCTGTCCCCTCAATCGGCTGCCGCTCTACAACATGGCAGTGGCAGAAGTCTGCGTGACCTTTCTGAGAAGGGATGCCCAAGGAAGGTGGACACGGTGACGCAGACAGTAGAAACACATCTCTCCCCACTTCCCTGCTGCGACGCTGGCCGATGACAGCTCTGATGCGGCTTACAGGGGAACGCAGCTTGGGGAGGGGTAAACAAATCAACCGCCCTGCAGAAAAACAGAGACGGGCAGAGTGCACAGCGTGCATTAGTAAGGAGGCCTTGACAGCTCACGGGAGCCCATTACCTCCACACTACCCACAGGCCGGGACACTCCAGCTTCTCAGAGCTCAGAGAGGTTCAGGGATGGGCTCTTGTTACATGATAAGCTCAACGGATGGTGTGGTCAATGCCCCCAGTTTACAGAAAAGGTGACTGATGGCAGACTAGTGACTTTTGCAAGTTCTCTAGAGCACGGGAAGGTCAAAATCCAGGTGTCCTGTCTCCCAGATTCCGCGACTCCTGCACAGACAGCACATTACACTAGTGAGACAGGACACAGTGCTCACTCGGTGCCAGAGGTTGTTTTGAGTGCTTCATACACTCCAATTCACTTGGCCCAAAGAACAAGTTTTGTCAGGCTAATTTTCTA